ATTAACATTGGCCTACTGCTTGTACTAATAAAGTGCCAAGGGCCTAAGTGGTCACCTTAATATTAAAAAAAAAAAAATTAAAAAAATTTTGTAGCATTGATTTTATAGATATTCTAAATAACAACTCATCTTTAAGCAATGATAACTTGACAACCACCTAATGAAACTCAATAAATTTTTTTTATTTTAATTCAACAAGTCTATAGAATTAAAAAAAAATTTTATCAAATTCTATTAGGTTGTTGTCAAGATATCTTCATTTAAATCTAAAATAAAATTATTGTAGCTTCGATTTAATTATTATTAAATTAAAGCTGTGGCAAATTTTAGTTTAAATTTAAACACAAATATCTTGACAAAATATTTTTATTTTAATAGATATATCTATTAAATTGAAACTGTGATAAAGATATCTTGACAATTAGCTAATGTAATTTAATCAAATTTGGTCTAGTGTTTGTTAAAAATTGTTGTTTGAAATTTAAATTATTGAAATCTAAAATTTAACTAATATTTTAATACCAGTTTTAATATATCAATAGTTGTTTTTATATTATTTTATTATATTCTATGTATTGTACTTTAATATCTATTTATTAAAAGCTAAAAAAATTTATTTATTCATATATATATAATTTAAAACAAATTGCAAATCACTATTCTAAAAGAGTAAAAGATACATAATTACGCCTCACACTATACTGCTATATTAATAAAAATAGGAATGTTTCAGAGCGGTGAGCCACAAATAAATTAACTTGAATAACATAAGTTTGTTTATAAATTAACTATACAAGAATATATAGCTAATTTATAAATCAAAGCAAATGTGATTTCAAAATAGCGAATTGTAAATGTTTTATTTAGAAATAGCATGAGATTGTGCAAAAATATATCTACAACTATAAGAGTAAGTGTGTATAACTTAATTTGAAAAAACTACGTTAAAAGAATGAGGTTTTTGATAAGCAATATATGAATTTGCCAGAAGATAATATTATAAATAGTGTATTAATTAAATGATAAAAATAAAACATGAAGTGAAACTTATAAATGTCACAAAATTCAAAGAATAATTGAATTTTAAATCGTATAAAAAACCTGAAAGAATAAATTAAAATAAATTAGTTCTTAAATATCTAATATTTGTTATATTATTATAAAAGAGAATTATTATCGTATTAAAGATATTCTAGTCATACCTGAAAAATAATCATAAGATCAAAACTTTCTCGAAAATTATAATACACTATTAAGAATTTGATCTATTTATTGTTTTAAAAATAAAGCTATTTATTAGTAAAAGTTTTATAAAAAAACGAAAATAAATCTAAAATAAAATAGTTCTACTTATTTTATTCAAAGTAAAAACCAAAGCTTCTTTATGTAAATCAATCAATCAATCAACCTATACGTGCTATACTTATATTAAGCAAAATTGTAACCTAGTAGTAAAATGTGTGATAACGATATTGAACAAAGTATGTATTGAAATTAATAAACTTAATATAAGCATTAAGTTAAAAAAACAACTAATAATTATTATTTTAATAGATATTTTACCTCAAAATCTTTAAAAAAAAATATATAAACATTGCTATCACAGGTCGAAAGATAAAAAATCAGGCACAAATCAGGTACCCGATTTTAAACTGATTACTACCTGATTACTACCTGATTTATGCATATTTTTGTACCAAAAATTTGGTACAAAAATATGCATAAATCAGGTGGTAATCAGGTAGTAATCAGTTTAAAATCGGGTACCTGATTTGTGCCTGATTTTTTATCTTTCGACCTGTGTATGTTAATAGAAAAAGAACTGATTTTGGTTATAGTTTAAAGAATGGTCAACAAGAGAATATCACATGCAATTTATGCTTAGATCAATTAAAAAATAAGCAAAAAGAAAAAAATATAAGTCATACTAAAAAAAAAAGCAAATCTCAAAATAATACTACCAGCGATTCAAATATAATGATAGATAATAACTCAGAAATTCTAGAATTATTTTCTGAAAATATGGAAATAATACCAGATGAGAATGCAGTATATGATTATAATAACCAGAATAATCCTATTTCAAAGACGCTTCTATATGGGTTAGATGAAGTACATGAAGTTATTTCAAAGTATTTTGAAGTAGAAACGTTAATTGAACCTGTTAAATTTATTTTTAAGATTGAGTTAGATCAAAATCTTCTTACCATAACTTCTTTAGACCAATTAAACTTAGTTAATGAAAATGATTTTAAGATAATTGAAAATAAGTTTCGCCAACTTGCCAATACAATTATCATACCTCTTGAGTCAGGTTCTGGTTATTACTGGGAAATCTGTAAAGTATATTTAAATAGTAACAAGAAAAGATTTTCAGATTCTGGTACAGTATATCTTGGCTGCACAATGTGTAAGGACCGAGCTTGGAAAAAGCCAGATAACCAACTATCTAAAAGAATTAGTGAAATTCGCACACCAATTAACAGATATAGCTATGAAGGAAGTATTAGAATTACTATATTTCCAGAAAACCAATATGCTTTAGTTCGAAGATATTATTGTATTGCATATGAAAAACCAACATATAAACAAGTAGAAATTCCTATAAAAGCAAGAGAATAGATCCAAACCAATTTTTTCTTAATATGAAAAGTACGGATGTATATCATCAGCTCTGCCAAAATAATCTCATAAATCCAGAAATTCATACAATCGCACAAATATACTACTGAATATCTATGTATAATAGAAATACATATATAATAAATCTAAATAATTCACTTTTATCTGCCAAACTGTATCTAGAGCAATCTAAAATAATAGAAAAGGGATTTAAAGTTATTACTTATTTGGAAAATGATTTTGTAAGAGCTTTGGGATTTTTAACACCATTGCTTAAACGTATTGGTGTTAAAAATGCAACAGAAATCATTATAGACTCTACATTTAAAACTAATTATGAATGATTTGAATTATTCATAGTAAATCTTAACTGTGAAGGGTATGGTATGCCAGTAGCATATCTATATCTATTTACTTTAAATGGAAGCAATGAAGTAAGAAATGATCCAAAAAATTTTACAAAAACCCATGTTGAAGTACTATGAATGTTTTTTACTAACCTTAGACAAGTGGGACTAAGACCTGTATTTGCACTAATGGACAAAGATATGAGTGAAATATCTTCAGTAAGTGAGGCTTGGTCATGGACTCTTAGTATTCAAATTTGGCATTGGCATATTAAACAAGCTATTGAAAGAAAAGTCAAAGACAAAAAATCAAAAGAAAGTATATATTCTGTGACTAAAGCACAAGAAGCCCATAAAAAGTTTGAATTTATTGATCCATTATGGATTAAAGGCAGTGCTACATCTTTTTGTCTAGATAATTGTATTAAACCACTTTTAAATATGGTTCAAAAACATATATCTATGTATCCTCTAATTCCAGTAGACAAAAATATCTTTATGACTTCAAGAGAAATATATCAACATTGTGTTCAAGAAGCCTATTAATCAATACATTCACACACTCTCCCCGACGATCACTTGTACCAAATTTTTTACACCGAACAAGAACAAAAATTTTGTTGGAGTAGC